GACTTCCCTGAAGAGTTTGCAGTTGTAGGAACTGTAACCCGCTCAACATCGGATGCCATTAAGTGCCTATGGCGGATTGTGGGTGGGGGGCTAGACCATGAAGAAGCCAGACCCTGCAACGAATTTAAATTGCATGCGATACGCGACTGAACTCCCCAATGACTTCAAGTTCCACCTTACCTGAACAATTTTTAATCTTAAAATTTTTTGTGAAGAGATTTGATTATCCGTTGGAGAAAATTGGAAGAACTGATTCACTTGAATGTCTTGCGTCGAATCTTGAACTCCAGAGTCTCCAAGAGATTGGGACGTTGCTTTCAAGTGACGCATTTGATTAACTAAATCGTTGTACTGTCTGTATAAACGCATATAAAGTATTTTTTCCTGTTTCAGAGCACGGGCTTCCGTAAATGAAGACGCTCCTTGATTGGATGGGGCTCCACGAAACGCCGCACTTGCTATAACGCATGAACATGGATCGTCAACTCTAGGATCAGTAAATGCAAATTTTTACCAGATGGAGGAGATGCTTCGTGATGCATTTCATTCAAATGGTTCAATTTTTTCTTGAGTTCCTTTTGATGTATTTGCTGCTTCAAATAATGAACACGAAGCTGCTGTTCAAGCTCTCCAATCAAGCGTGTCTTGAAATCTACGGGAAGGTCACTTCTGCGCAAACTTGCAAGTTTTCGTTCGACAGCATGCTGCTCTTCCTGTTGCTTCAAGTGAACTTCAAGCTCCTATAAGGAATAATTAGCGATTTAGTAGCAACAAATGTGATATGATTCGCGTACTTTCATTAATTCCTTCTTCTGATTTTCTTGTTGACGAGAAACAAAAGAATCACCTCCGCCGAGAACGTTTGAAGGCTTGAGTTGCTGACGCCTTTGTTTCTGTTGCACGCGGTTGTATAAAACTTGTAGTTGGGTTCGCATGTCCTTCTGTTCATTTTCCATCTCATGGAACACCCTATCCAGACGACGTCGCTGACTTCTGATATCATGAGGTCGGGGTGGTTTCGAATGCCCACTGGATTGCGCTAATGTTCTATAAACCAGGCGAAGTGTTGGAGGGGGGAGTTCACTCGCCGCCCTGGTCCCGACAGAGAGATGCCTGTCGCCAGTGTAAGTGACGATCGCCCGAACCCACGCAAGGGAGTCTCGACCATCAAGTCCGTTTCCTCGCATGGATTGCTGGATGAAGTTATTGAAGCTTTGGTGACGGAGATCGATTGGGATTTCTAAGCGAGAGGCTGCACAAGCAGCAATTGTGTGAGCGAGAGGCGATGAATGGCTCGAAAAAATGGAAGCTCCATCCGGAACGTGAAATTGGTTGTTCGTGAGATGATCAGGTGGAATTCCATAGAGCTTGACATCAATCTTCGGAATTTGGACTCCTTCAGGACAAAAGGCTTCGAAGAGAAGGGAGGCTTCGACAAGTTCAGCGTCTGGAGCTGCGAATGCTGGAAGAAGAAAATTCCGAAACTGGAGAACAAGATTTTGAAAGAAAGACGCTTCTAAATAGAATTCGAGTCTACGAATGGTTACCCGAAGTTTTGAACCCCCAGGCTGGCTGCAAACACTCCCTAGGATTGGAGCACGAAGGGACTTCAGCAACAACATCCGAAACATCTCCAGAGATTTGGACCTTCGGAAGATCCAACGCGTCAACGAAACCGATAGGTTTGACAATTCCGTCGTTGGATGGCAAAAGGAGAAGTTCAACGATGCGCGCTGCAGGAATCACTCGAACTGAAAATTCTCTTTTCTCGTGCACTTACTTTTCATCGAAGGGCCCAGCGACGTCCAGGTCTCAGAAATCAAAGGGCTGTCGACGCGATATGGAGTAGAATTTTTAGGTGATTTCTTCAATTCAGCTCGATGCGCCTCAGCAGCGGGGAGCTCATCAGTCGCAATGACGTCCAATACACGCCCCACCATTGAATCTGGAATGTCAACAATGATGTCAGCCGTTGATCCTGGAGGGAGACGCAAACTCTGAAAACAGATTGACGGTTGATGATTTAATCCTCTTCTTCGGGAGTTTGAAGCCCAAATCTTTCTTGATGAATGCCCACTTACATCTCTCGTTGTTTGATTTGAATTGTGGCTAAACAAATCCATATTTTCCCATTGGGTCTCAACTTTGAAGACGAGATGAGGAATTCGAATCAGCAACATGCGTGCATTACAGACATTCAGAATGCGCAATCGGTGTTGAGACCCAGAAACCAACGCTAATTGGGGACCGGATGAAATGCTCTCGCCATTCACCTGAAATCGTAACACTGAACGTCAAGACGCTTCTGTAGACAAATACCAGAATCACATTCCCGACTCTCCCGTTGAATTGATCTTCGGCCCGTTTGAGTGGCGTCCTAAACGGAGGGTAAATTTGCCACGTTTTGGGGTCGAGAAGTGGATCGCTGAGAACAACGAGAGGGGCATTGGTGTGTTCGCTTTGTGTCTCTTCCACGATAAGGGCACCGAACAGTCCCATTGGGACTTGGCGTTGCGCATCGACCGACGAATGATATTGAAACGTTCCGGAAAGCGACAAAAGAATTCGAAATCTGAAAAACAGAAACCGCAAACTTGCGAGAAGAATGAAACGGTCTTACAGTCGTGTTTGGCCTGGCTGAACGAAACCTCCCTCGAGAGGATCACGAGCAGACTACCGCACATGAAAACGTATGAGTGACCGTCACAAATTAAGTTCACTTACAAAAACCCCAGGGATGAATAATCCAGTAGAAACAGGGAGGAGGTTTCTCAGCTGTATCTCTAATGTATCGCCCACCCTTGCTCGTATTGTTGGACCAGGCACTCCCCCGTTGAACGTCCAAACTTCTGTCGTATTTGGGGCGAGTTTCGGCGGCAAAGTGAGAGAAGGGGGAAAGCGATAAACTCGGGCTTTCGTCATCGTAATGGAGTGAAAAAAAGTTCAGATATTGAACCTGCGCAGTAAGAACAATCGCGAAGGTTTTTCCCGATCCCGTGTTGATTATTTCGGGTGGGGCCTTGACATCTGGATAGGATAGTCTCTTATCGGTATTACAAACTGCTGTCTTCTCTTGTATTGTTCCATTGCAGTCGTAAAGCCTCTGATGAATAACAGATTCATCGAGCATGTGGTTTGGATGGACCCCATATGAATCAGCTAGGAAAGAAAGGAAGGATCAGCGATGCAGAAGTATAAAAACATCATCCTCACCAGCTGGCAATCCATTTGAAACTGGAAATAATGAACAAGTTAACAAAAACAGCGTCAGAAATGTCATTGCGATTGGAGTTGCGCAAAAACAGAAGTTGAATGTTTTTAAAAATATAACACACGCATCAATAGCCAAAACAGCAGGGGAAGGTTCCAGAATAGGAAGCCATGGCATGCATGCAGGTGCATAAAGCAATAGATTTCTACCGGGCAAACACAACCGGAAAATGGCCACTCGAAAACGAAGGTTCAGGTGATGTTTCATCATTCAAGAATCGAATTCCTGATCCAACTCCTCCAGCACTGAAAAATGATGCTACTGTTAGTTCTGTCAGGGGCTTGTCGGATAGATCAGTCCGGACCTCCGGCTCCGACAAAAGCAGCCCTATGATAGAGAAGCAATTTTACATGTTAGCAATCATCATGTGGTGGCTCACGAGAATCAAAAGCATCGAAGAATTGCTGCAGCGTTGCGTTGGATTGGGGCGTGAGGCCTTCGAGAAAATGCAGTGCATAATACGTAAAGCGATCGATGATCGGAACACCAATTGCGTTGTCTTCATGATGGGAATATGAGTTCTGTCCTTTCTTGCTACACCCAGCAGCGACGATATTTGGAGAAACGAAAGTCGTTTGAAGGGTAGCACTTTGGCAACTATCAACAAGAAATAAGATCCTGCCATACCTGATTGAATAACAAACATTAAACCTAATGGCTAGCATCTCATTTACCTATTCTGCTTGTACATTTGATGGAATGCATTACTGATATCTTGCGAAGTGATCACCTCCCAGTCCTGGAATTTCAAAAATTGATCTCCACCGTGACCAGTCAGAAAGAAAAATATATGACTAGAGCGATCAGTCAGCAGTCGCTTCGATAGTGGAGTCCAACCAGGCTGTCGTCCTAAAAATTGTTCAACGGTGGAGATTCTAACGTCCACATGCCATAGACAGTGGGCGTTCCCCGCCATACCTGTTAGAAGCCTCAAGACGTTATCCACTGTGACCTCCTCCCCTCTAAAGTCCACTTCGACGTCTTCGCCGTAGAGATCCAAACGCGTTTGACGATCATTGAAAAGTCGGCCGGGTTCAGCGTTGCGAGCATTGCACGCTACATCATCAGCAAGCATCAAAATTATCTGAAACAAATGAGTCACGGTCGATTCGTCTACACAATGGTTTACTTGATTATCTGGAATTCCTAGTCTCTTCACTGTTCGATAGAATGATAACGCGTTCGAGGCATGACGATAGTTGTAGTAGTACCGACTCGCGTCTATGATAACCGCCCATGCGTTGCGACCCCCGTCGGGGGCTGCGTTGTTGTGAGGCTCAAAAACCTGAGATTTGCACGAAACTAAGAGTAAGACAGCAGAAAGTATGAAAAGGAGTCTCATGTTGAATGGCGGACCTGATGCCTGCTTGAGCCTCCCATCCCTCTCACGCAAACCATCATTCTTCAAAAATATTGCGTCTTCACGGATGAGCTTAATGTGCGTAATTTTGTTTAGCAAGTGTGCGGTTCTCAGCTCTTGTCGTTGGAAGCATCGCAGAAAGAAAGACGCTCAACTTCAGGAAGGCAATTACGTTCATGGCCTCTAGCAGCGCATTGATAAAAGATGATTCAGGAATTAGTGCACTGTGTAACATTAAGTCAATAGAATCACGTGCCTATTGCATGTGGCCCTTCAAAACAGGTGCAATCCGGTTGAAAGAAGCCCGAGGATCCCAAGATTTATTTAAACATCTCTAAACTCTCAAGTCCCTAGACAGTTTTCCCTTCAATCAATGGCTAAAGATGATGTCACCCCGCTCCATGACGTCCGCTCAGTTATACGTGCTCGAAAATATCGAGCAAAACTGTGGGCTGGCGCTTTCGGGTTTGCACTTTTTGCAACGTCTGTCTTTTATCTTGTTTGTGATCGGTCCATTCTAGCTCTCGTCGAAGTTCTTCTTACAGCAGCATGTGCAGCGTTCATGGCATTCATCAAGCGACGTCGGCCCACCCCACGTGATCTCAACGGGTTGTGCATCATTGTTTTTGTGATTGGCGCTTCTGCAGTCACCCGAGCCTTCGTTTTTAGGTTTCTTCGGTCTTCCGATGTTCAATGGATGCTTATTGGGGCTGCAGTTTGCGGCGCATCGATCACCATAACAACTGGTGGTCTAATTGCTTCCATGATCCACCTCAAGAAATTTATTCTCTTAGAGTGTCCAGGATATGCATCTGACGCCTCGTTTCTGTAATGATTCCAACCAATCAAAGAGTTGGTTGCAACCAAAGTATGGGACTATTGCAATTCGGTTCAAGATGGTTTGCGAGGCGTCATGAGTGGCTTTCTCTCAAACGGAAGGCCCGACTGGTCAAAACCGGGTTCAATGCGGCACATCGATTTCTATTGTGGGATCGATCAGCCCGAATCAGGAACTGAAGAGCCCTACAGGAGTTGCGAGCGGACGTGTAACAATAGTGATGCTAGAAAGAATAGCACACGCAACATTTTTCATTTTTTTGTGAATGGACTGTAGAGTTGCTTCAAATGTCACCCTGCACGTTTCGGGAGCAAGGCAAACACATTGCCCCAGGCAGATAGAGCAATGGCACCTAGACGATTAACCCCAGGAAGCTGTAAGCGGAGGAGTTTTATAATGGGACCGGATGAAAGAACGGAGCTAAGCCGACCCAACGATGTTAGAAACGCCTGGCAAAGCACTATCGTAGAAAGAGAGAAAACACAATTGACCTACTGTTGGTGTTGATCTGACGCCTGGGTTCGTCGCTGTTGTAGTTGAACTGCTGCTAAGCGAATATTCCAACACCTCAATCTTTCCTTGATCATCTCCCTCTAAGATGTCTGAGTGATGAGATATTGGAATGTTTGTAATGTGCGATGAGCTCACGCAAGGCAGATCCGGCTGCTAGATACTCAGCAGATACGACAGCGATTGAGTTCAGAGTTGTAGTTGTTGGGGATTTCCTTGAAAGAAGTGAAAGCATGTGCCTTCCTGGTTGGCTAGCATCGAGGGGTCGCAGCCTGAGCAACAAGGATGAGCAGATCCGCTAAATCCCGTTTCGTACATTACAAAGTGAACTCCCTTGGAAACATCTCCTATAAGAAGATAAGACTTGACAGATGTGATGCTGATAACGCAACTCGGAGTTTCGATGAAGGAGCCTTGAACCAGACCATTTCCTCTGAATTCCTGCGAAACGAAATGACCGAAAACTGGCGATATTGATTCTATAGCCAACCACCGACGTACACTGGCAAAGAGCTTCGACCCCGACGAGTGAAGAAGGTATGTTTTGGATTCGGCGGAACCCTTGGGAGCCAATACGATGGAGTTGACCGCAAGGACAGGAGCAGAAAACAATTGGGAGAACTTGACAGCCAGGGAGGCTGTTCGAGTCTCCGTTGATTCAGCATCTTCAATTGGATTCGAGAAAGTGAGGAGATAAAGCCGCCCTAGAAATTCGGCCGGTTTCTTCTCAGTGGGCACAACTGCACACCCCACAGCCAAAGACAGAGTGCTTGCGTGCAGTCTCGTTTCAACTGCAACAACAAACAATAAGGATTAGAACAAGAATGAGTGTTTATCCATCTAGTTACCTTCCAGTTGAACGAATCGTAATGAAGCTGCACGATCACAGGAGAGAAGTCCCAAAATTGATGAGCTGAGATTAAGGAATGAAGCGAGAAGCTGGAACAGGGCGACGTACGGTACAACTATCTCGTCCCTAAACGCTTCAGAATCATCAAAGTCGATCAAAACAACGTGAGACAATGGTGCGGTTTCTTGATCATTGACTGGAGGTGACGCACTGTCTTCCGGGAGCCTTGCATTCGGTGAAAACCCTTCAGTCAAACCAGCAACAAGATTGTTTTCCTTCAAAAAGTCCAAGCGAGATAAAGAGCATGGCAAGCGCAACTAAGAGATAAGAGACTCATAGAGAGAAAAACAAATCTCTCTTACTTGGAAACTTGGTCGAGGACTCCAAAGCTTGCAACGTGCCCCTGGAATTTTTCCTAGGGAAGGACTTGGAGTTCGTAATTCCAGCCGTCCAGAAGAGGAAAGTTGGATCCACTCAATGAGAGAAGTTTGACTGAAAAGAGAGAAGGTCAAAGTCAGAGACAAGGTTGATTTATCACAAGATGGAATCAAACAAAATACTGAGAATATTCTATGGAATGTTAGAACGTACAAAAGAGGTCCAGCGATTGCAACAGTTTGTGCGTTCTGTGGAGTTTCAAGATGAAGAAACAGGCGATTACGATGAGCAACCAGAAACACTGGCTGGCGAACAATCTTGCGGGAACCAGCCCGTTGTTGAGTTACTATGGAAATAGGAGGGCGGATTAGACGAGAGGATTGTTTGATGGAAATCATCGATGTATCAAGGATGCGTACCAGTTGGTATGACCGACACTGCAACTGATCCAACAGGGGCGTCCGAAAAAAGTTGTGAAAGACTTGTAGTCCTTCGCCTAGCGTAATTCCTTTGTGAGTGAATCAATACTGTTGGGGAGTATCGGTGTAACGGGGATACATGAGGTGTCGTCAGTAATGTCTTGTCAGAAGCAGTGGATTCAGGGTCGAAAGGTTTCTGAAGTGTCTCTAACAGAGGATGAGATACAGTGAGATGAAAATCCTTGTAAACGCGTTGAAATCGGAAGGGAAAAAGTGGAGATGTTTCAGGAAAACGCGACCCTGGATGAATTGAGGGATATGAACGGTAAATGAGGACTGGAGCGTTCTGAGCCATAAGAATGAGAGTTGGTCCAGAATCATAGAGAGTATCGATAACGAGAAATTCAGCTGAAACGATTCGAATAGATTCATTTTCGTCTAATGAAGGACGATCAAGATTCTGATTTGTTTCCATTTTTGAATCGAGACTTGGATGGCGACGATTGACTGTTGAAAGGAAAAGTCTGTCGTTACGAAGTTCAAGCGGGAATGAGCGTTGATCTTCGACGAACTCGTAAGAGAAAACAATTTCTAAAGAATTGAGGCAAAACAAAATAACGCGATTGGGTTGATCCTGTGGAACTAGAGTCAAACATTCAATCAGCTCATCTGCCTGATGCTTGATGTCTCCACACATCTGATATTTGCGGAAAGAACATGAGTTTAGATAGAGAAGGGGGAACGTTATGGGAGAAGGAACGGAGTTGAGGGGGGTGGGAGTTTCCATCTGCGAGCCATTTTGGGACAGTTGAGAAATGGTTGAGCGGAAGGGTCTCCAAGTGGCAAGTCGTCCATCTTCGAACAACACTCCAATCAGCGATGTTGTAATGACCGCTTGGATCGCTAGAGGAGCATCGAGTAGCTGCATTTCAGTTGACGCCATTCTATTTAAATCATTGCAATCCGTTGATGGAAGTTCTAATAAATTGATGATTCCTATCAAAGTCGTTCCATCATCTTTGTCAATGCATCTTATTTCTGTTGGAGTGACTTGCACAATCAATGAACTACATGCAGGACATGATGTTCCCTTATCATCATCTTGCATCAAATCGTTTTCCTCAGTCGGCAAATGAACAAGACCGCATGCTAATGTCGCGCTCTCCAAATCAAATCCTTCTTGATTATCACTCGCGTTGGGTCTGCATGTCAATGAAATACCTCTATCACTGTCATCGGCGTCAATACAACCCTCTTGGACTTTTTGGTTCCTTCTGTCTTTTAGATCGAGAATGAACGTTCTGCCGATATCGAAATCAGAATCTGAGCTCACAACCACGACACCGCTTCGACGCCTTCTTTTTGTAGAAGGGTGTTCTCTCATCGGCACAGTTGATTGTTCGTTATCGACGGCCAATTTAATTTTCTTTCTTGGGGGTTCTGGAAATTCCAGGGTTTCCATTTCTTGATCTTCCTCAATTTTGTAATTTGAGGCATCAAGGGAGTTGTCGACATCTGGAATTGTCCAAAGAAGCGCCCCAGCTTCGAGTGAAGCTTCTTGTGAGACAGAAGATGAATTGTCGATTGCAGAAGTGATGCGTGAGGAAGAGACGGAGGGATGAATGACTGTGAGTTTTGAGAATGGGCCTGATCCTGATGACACTGCGATACTTGGTCGTGGTTGATGGGGAGAAAGTGAAGGAAGAATTACAGCATCTGTGGGAAATCCTGGGGAAACAAAAATGGGCAAACAAAAATGAAAAGGGAAAACAAAAATGATGAAGATGAGGCATCAAGGCAGACTCACCCAAACTGAGTGAAGGTTCCATCACGTCAACCAGATCGATACACTCCAGTGGGTTTTGATCTCTTGAAAAATGGAGAGACTTAGAAGGACACAGCGCTGGTGAAGGTGCAACTGGTTGGGGTGGTAAGTTCTCAGTTTCTATAAGTTTCGCAAACTTGAACAGTCGGGTCACTGCAACGGCTGTAATTGGTAACCCAGAAGGCTTGGAGCGAAAGAGGGAGCCTTTCTGTAATCTGGGTTCCTTTATTCGCCACAAAGACATTGGGACACCTTGGAATCCATTTCCAGAGCAGAGACAAAAGCATGACAGATCATCTTGTGAAGTCTTTCGACAAGCATGCACGACTGCACAGGCTGTTTCAGAGACTAAAGGAACAGAAGTTGACGGGGTTGCTATGGAAATGAATTCGAAACCTTGAGGTTGACCAGATTGGCTGACAATCTGTGGAGGGATGGGAATTAGATTGAGGAGCAAACCCTAAGTGGTCTTACTAATGTTGCCCAGATCGGTTGTCCATTGAGCTCGCGAGGAATTAATAAGTTCGTTAAAGCAGAGATCTGAATCCATTCGTAATCCGTCGAGATGATCCGAAGAAACGAAGAATCAATCAAAGGTCTCTTCAGTAGAAGAAGTCCTTTGGCTCTTGCAACGAGATCCGGGGGAACAGGAAGAGATGCAAAATGGCGCGAATCTGCTTTGGTTCCGCCACACACCATCGAGACAAGCTCCCTCACTGGATTTCCTCGCAGGTTGTTTATATCAATGACTTGAATGAATTCAGTGAAAGGTGGGGGCTCCTGAAGGCAATGACTCTCTTGAGCGATGGTGTTGACAGGGTTGTTAGACGATGAGTCAGAATGAGGAGTTGCAATGTCGGAAGAAATGACTGACGATTGAATTGCTGGAGCAGGAAGAACCATTGAATCCAGCGAGTCACGCCCGGCTTAACCAGGAGGTGGTCTCTGATGACTGAGACTGCTGCATCTTCCAATAATTGAAGGCATCAATGAGAGTCAACTGAGAAGACTTCAATGCATTGATACAACCAACTGCATGAGAGGAGAGGATCATGATATACGGAACGAAGCTGCAAGGCTCATCATCAGAAAAAGAACCGGAGTCAGAATTAAGATTGTGAGAAGTCAAACTTGAAGACGGTAGAGTAGAAGCGGATGGAAGCCAAAACGGGCGAATAGAGTACGAAGTTGAAAACAACGAGGGAACATGATTTAATACGAAAAATCGTCGATCAATGAAATCAATAGAAATCGTTAAAAGACTTGCTTGTCCCAAACTCCATTCTAATGTGGATATGGAGACAGGACAAGGATTGACAAGAACAACGAAGACGAGTGAGCGAAGGCTCGAGTTGGAGACAGCAGGGATATTCGAGTTTTGGGACTCCCAATTGGGACATCTAGAATCATGGAGGAATGAGAAGTCGACAAGTGTATGTTGTTTGAGGTCTTCAGAGATAGAGAGAAACCAAGGATCGACTTCCATACAAAATTCCTCAGATTGAAGGAAGTCATGCGACCCTAGAAGTGGAAAGGATTTTGAAGGAATGAGTGGAGAAGATGGAGAGTCCCGCGCAGGCTGAGAGGCACCATCGAGCATGATGACAGGATAATCAGCGTGTTCGTGGGATGTCGTGTATTTTGGATCCTTCAATCTCAGAGGGAGAAACACGAGGCGATCCTCAGATAAGTGAATGGCGGAAATCATTGAAAAGCTTGTGATGTTCCACGATGTTTTGTGCAAAGAGGAATAAGATCGTCTCAATTGGAGCGCGTTAGAAGTTTCATTGCTTGGATGGACTTGAGGGGTCAGAAGAGTAAAACGTATCTTGGGACAAAAATGAGCTCCAGAGGGCAATGACATGGGTAGGCTTGTCTTTAACGTTTCTGTTGCATTCCTCCAATTTGAAAAATCGTGAACAGACAGGAGACGAATTCCATTATGCTCGGAGTCATAGCGAAGGAATGTAAGCTGCAGAAGAAAAAGCAATTGAATACTGAATTACAGGCACTCTGCCGCTTCATCATAATCTGATGGGCTACCTTGCTGTCGCTCGAGAGGAAGACGATTAGTGTACTCAAATTGATTGAACACATCAAGCGTCCAAAACCGTCTTTAGATGGAAATGATTGAGTTGTTTGATAAGGAATTGGAATCAGAGAAATTCCGCATCTAACGTCAACTGTTTCGATCGTTGGGGGAGATTCACTCAAATCCAGGGACGTCAGGAAGTGCAGACCCTCAGGGCAATCATCTTTGGTTTCATCAAGATCCCTTTCCAATGAGAAATTGCTTTCCGTCTTGCCGGAAGGAAGAACAAGACGGTGAAGATCCAAGTGGCGCGGATGCACCGTGACGACCCCAATGTCGTACTGGTGAACATCTGATGAAATGGAATCGAACGAGTAAGAGAGACATCGTAATGTTGTATTGGATTCATACAAAGGATCAACTTCCACTGGAGGCACACAAGTGGGTGATTCGGACATCAAATCTGTGCCAGCTGAACTCCAGTTCGCCTTCACAACTGCATACACAGACAAGATGGCAGTACTACCATTCAGATTTCTTGTTTGAATCTGAGTTCGTGAGAAATTAATCTCTTTCCTTTTGTCTTGATGATTTCAAAGAGTCTTTTCTCCAAATAGTGATATGATCCTAACCCGCCCAGCCCGCAATTGGCCTGCGTGGTTGGCACAGCCTTAACGGGCGTCATATTGTTGTTATCGCCCGGTTTAGCCATGAAACAAAATCAGTTGGTCAACTTCAACCATAAATTCCTGCACAATAAGCAGTATTTCCAGCACCAGACGTATTACGGCGAGCGTGGCAATCACAGCAGTCAAACTAGTCACCAACCAACAACTACAAAAAAACGTACAGGAAAATGCCAATGCATAAAACGGGACTGAGCTCGAAACAGACTAGGACAACCTGCGCTGCACCCACCAGCATAAACACTAAACTGCCGAGGAAAATGTTATGCACAGAGTGGGATTTGAACCCACGCGGAATTACTTCCATCAGAACTTGAGTCTGACGCCTTAGACCACTCGGCCATCTGTGCATCATGCATTCACAATCAGTGGTGTGCGATTTATACTTGGGCTTGAACTTGATAACGCCCTTCTGTTCGAAGGTTTGTTGACAAATCGTCACCAGCAATGTAATCACGAAACCTTCAGAGATTTCTGTTCTTAGGGACGTCCCTTTCGTTTGATTGTCAACCTCTTCATTTGCTCCAAGCAATAAACGATCACCTCAACGTCTTTTCATCGATGTGTTATTGGGAAAAATGAGTTTGTTTTTTCTGGTTTTTTGTTAAGAGATGGCATCTACCACAATTGCAACGGCGGAGCCTCAGCGAGGTAAGCGATTGCCCTGTCGTTGTCCTCAGACGTCGCGGGTGGAGTTTTGATGCTCCAGCTATTCTTGCAATAGCGGTAATACGAGTCAGCGTACGTAATATACAGACGGCGTAGCTCAGACACGTATTGTTCGTGGTAGCATTCAACATCTTCTCTCGTCGGCTTCTCAATATGAGGAAGAATCATCGGTGAGCCAACAACAAGAAGTGATGGAGTTCTAGTGAGAAAAAGAGAGTTGCCATTTGATAATCAATGAAGGAATAACCGACCGATGAGGTAAAAGTCCAATGGGACCTAACAATGAACCATATGGAAGAACAGTCGGAATTCCTTTGGTGTTAAACCAAAACTTCAAATCATTGAGCAGATCAGAAAACAAATGGCTGTAAGAGAGATTTTCTCCAAAAGCATACACTGGTGTGATGGAATATCCGTGTTGTAACGAATAGCGAATAAAACCTGAAAATAGCGAAATTATCAACACCGATGCTGTAGCGTCATTCACCCTTTCGGTTCTTTATATAAAGCTTTTCTTTTCCATAATCAGTAATGGTTGCCTCGTGCACCCCCCCAGGAACCAATATTAGAGATTCTTTCTTCTTCATTGATTGCACGAAAGAGACACGATCGGCACTCCCCAGCGTAACATGGGCCTTGCTAAACATGAACCTGGAGCACGGAATGACGAAAGAGGTTCCTGGAATTCTTTACCTAAAGAGGGGGCAGAGGTATTTCAATGGAGGAGCACCCATGACGCGATATCCATCCATTTCGGGTAAAGCCATCAGACGAAAGAGTCCCAAGGAAATGATGCCGTGTGGATGGTAGCACATTAACGTCGGAGGCTTTCCGGATCTCCCGCACGAAACAAATGAACGGTAGTCCTCGAAGATAATTGCCGATCCTAGGACGCATCGCAGTCTATTCAACATATTTAATGGTTTTTGGGTTTGTGACGCAAAGAGGCTTACCAGGTTGAAACCAATCCGACGTGCATTGAACCATTTTTAATCTGAATTTCTCAAGAAATCCAATCGATGGATCCTCCACAGTTTTTACAAAACGTGGTAACAATTTTGGGACTTCAAAGAAATCTCGAATATTCATGTAAATAATCGAAGCGAGATACACAATTGATAAATGGCTCTTCCAATCGAGAATACACACAATATCGAGCGATCGTTGAACAGCTGTTTCGTAGAGAGATAGGATGGATTTTGTCAGATCGGACGGTTTCAGCTTTGGAAGATTGAACATGAGTGAGGGAACTGCTTGGACACTTTTGTGAAGGAAAACGATTGTATCGCTTAGAGCTTGTCTCAATTTTTGAAGGTAGATGAGAAGTTTTGGGACTCTGAGTGAATTGGACGAGAAATATGAATAGAAATCTGAGGCTTGAGTGAAGACCCAGAAACTGAGATAAATGGGAAAGAATGCTGATACAACCCAGACAGCAATGAAGAAGAAGAGAGCGAATCCCCTGATTACAACAAGCTGGATAGGTGGGTAAGAAATTGAAGACTCACCCCAGAAAAATTCTCCACCATGGCTTCTTCTCCATGTCGTAGAAGCGCACTGACGCTGTAGGTGGGCAAACGTACGGGAACTGTTCCTCAAAGGTTAACACTGATGGCTTCGATGGGTCGCATACATCCTCTCTCATTGGCTTGGTGGCGTCATTGACCCCTTGAGAGATCGTAGTATTCGGAACTGAAGGAGTCGTCTCAGGACGAACCATAGAGGGAACAGAAGAGATGTCTTGATCTGGCTTGATGCTTTGATCGACAACTTTCTTCATTTCCTTGCCTTCAAGAATTTCGTGCCAACCGATTGTTCCGAGTGGAATAGCTGCTAAGAGTGATGAGAAGGAGTCGCGTTGAGCCTGATCAGAACTTGAGCTTGTGAATCGACGTTTAAGTAGAGAGCTCGAAGGTGTCGAGGAGGACTCCGACCGAAAAGCATCAGAATGAGTTTTTTTTCTGTACAAGGGGGGAAGAAGTTCTCGGTGTGAAAATTGATAACAAGGACTTGCAGCACGCATCGAGGACGCAACCCCAAATGGTCTAACGTGCCGCAGGTTGTCTTTTTGACGGTAGCTGTTGACTGATTGACATACGAGACTGGAGTTCAGAATTGGGAGGAATGCAACGGATTGACTCCATTGAGGGAACAATGTCAATGGTGTAGATTTCATGATTGCGGGATTGCAGAACAGATTCATGGTTTCAAGTAAAACAGTAACAGACGTAACAGGCTCGACAGAGTTCGTCAGATTCTTGCCACGAATGTGGGCCTTCGTTTTGTGGGCATTTTATGTTTGACGCCAAACTATTTAGCTCAGTGCTACGCCCCCTGCGCCAAGCGTCGTTAGATTTCCTATTCAATGCCGAGCAAAACACGAGAAAGATCGCAAGAACATTGATTCTTTGACTGGGATGAAGCGAATGGACGAGATTTTCCCCTTCAGGAAGAAAAATTGAAATCAAAACAGAAGAAAGTGGCTTACAAAGGGTCCTTCTGATACGGAAGTATCTTGATGGAGTTTCTGATGCTGATGAATGGGGAAGCGACAGATTGGTCGATATCGGTATGATGCTCAAGTGACGATAGAAGCAGGTCCAATAGAACTTCATTGTTAGGACAAGCCAATAATCTTCTCAATGTGGTTCGTGATATTGGCAATGATTGCGGCCCCGAAGATGTGAAGAGTAACTGAATGAAATAACGGCGCATCTGCACGAATTGGGTTATGAAACAAACTCGGAGCTGCAAGAAAAATGGAGTAGAAGACAGCAATCCTGTGCCACACCTCACTCTGTCAGACAACCGACGGTACAAAAGGATACAGCGTGAAATCCGGTTTTCGTTTGCTGAAATGATCCAATGAGTTGTCAGGAAATTTGTGCATTCCCACCGAGGATTCGAATCTTTCGAGTCAGATATAAATCGTAGAGGGATCTCCTGTAATCGAGAACAAGAACTTCAGGCGTTCCTGTTTCCGCCTCTTTCTCATGTTGCTCAGTGGGCGGATGACGCGCGACGTCCATAATGAGTGCATTGTATGACTGAAGGAGTTGAGAGATGAGCTTGTGACAAGAACAATTTAATCGTTGAAACATCGACGTCAGTTGAAGCACTGATAGAGTTTCACACATGGCACTTAGCCACCATCGATGGGAAACTGATAGATTTGTTGAAGCCGTTTTAAATTCGCTGAGGTGATCTGAAGAACATTGAAGAAGCTGTTGAAGACAAGAATTAAGGAGAAGATCGTTTGTTGAACGTGAAAACAATAACAAGTCGTCTGCTGCTCGATCAGAACTAAGGGGTTGTAAACTGGGAAATATGTAGAGACTCCATATGTGGAACCGAACAGAGAGAAGAAGTATCCTTCCCCATTGCTTGGTGTTTGAAATGCGGGAGCGAATGTAATCTTGTCGGATAGCGCGCAATCGATCAGAGAAAAAATGGAACAATTGAAGACGAGCCGACTTGAAAAATGAAAGGGGGATTTCACAGAGAAGGGAGCTGATGAGAAGCTTGGCTGAATAGACAAGACTCTCTGAACTCCGCTCTAGATGTAAGAGGAATCTGTAAGAAGGAGATTTATAATTTGTTCGTACCAGTGAAGTCCTTTGATGATCTTACAAACTCCTAGAAACAAATTCATATGACATTGTTGCATGGAGGGGCTCTTACTTTGAAGGTTCTCCTCGGATGGCCAACGAAGACCTTCTTTCCTTGGATACCTGCTAAATGGTTAGAAGCCTCTGATGTATTTAACTGATCTTCCAATTTTCTTATCTCGTCATCAATCAAATGCGCCTCTTCCATCGTCTGAAGGGATAGAAGTCCGAGGCAGCAGGGACATTCTGTAACACACGACGTTCTGGTGTGCTGATTCTTATTCCAAAGGGATTTAATTAACTCAAGTCCTCCAACAGATTCAACCAAGTGGATTCTTCCATGCAGACTGCGACACAATCCTTCATCCTCAGAGCAGCCCACCCAATCTATAGTCAACCAACACAAGCTCGCATGAAAGTTGTGAGGCTCTCAAGTTTCACCATACCCATCAATCCATCAATAGAACTATCATTTTCATCGATTCCTAATTTTCACTGTCCCGAATTCACAGAACAGATGACAGAAAGCCTCAATCACGAATTAAACCGTTCTACTTTCCTATAGTTTGCGAAAAAATGGACGCTTTCAAAAATTCTACCACCGTCACTATGGCGTGTCACTATGTCGTTGACGTGACGGGATAAATCTGCACTAGTCGGTTAAGGTGCCACCGTTGGCTCTGAAACGAGTGATCAAACAGTGAAATCACTCCATGTAGTTTAGAAACTCACAAGGACAATAAGATCGCTTGAAGCATTCCAGCCCCTTCCCAAATGCTTAAGCATACGACGTCATGTTTGGGTCAAGCTGCTCGGTGAACGCGCGCTTAATGCCCGCATTAACAAGCACATCGTGATACCAAAGCTTTAAATTATTAGGTTGTCTGTATTTTTTTCCTTTCGTGGCAATGGGCTTAGACGGACTGAATTTTCCAGTTCATCAAACGCCAGGAGCAGCGAGAAAAATAACGCCTGAAAGTGTTCCGATCATGAGTCCATGACTGAGGTGGGGTGGTAACTCACTGATATTGAGTTCATTGATCAAACTGGCGACGTCTTCGATAGACGGATATTCTGTTTCAGCGCAATCATAGTTTTCATTGTTGTCATTTGCCTCCATATCCGCAGCATTGATGTCTGAGGGGGACCAGTGATGATGAAGGACACAGAAAAACAACTCACCAAATTTTCGCTTGACAAAACTAGTGAGACTGCGAACGTCACCATCGAGATGAGAAGCAGCATCGGTAACAACAACAGCGAGTCGAGCGACTCCAGTCCCATCGGCAATTGAGCTTCTTGCTGACAAGCGCTCGATACAGACCATCGAAAACTCCCTCTGTCCAATCGCCACCCCCTCCAGCAGCTCTCTGGTGATACTCTAGGAACGGTCAGGACGCGAACGAGGCACATCAACATGGCAGCAATAATCTGATTCATATCCGAGCTCAGTAGTCTCTTGGATTTTTAAGATTGGGTCCTTTCAGTGGCTTGTCTCCAAATGTCGCAAAACCGAAGTTTGAATTTTCTCCGGTTGCGTAAACCATTTCAAGGACTTTTTCCACTTGCTACAATAACAAACATGACGGTTTCCAACAGTAGCCAGTGATAGGAACGTACTGATGCCATAGCAGGCCAAAGACGATCGAAGGACGACGTCATGTCTTGGATTTGGACAACATCGAGAGATGAATAACAATTCTCTAATGCGAGAACTGAGCGTGATACAGCAAGCGTCAACGTGATAAAAAGAGAAAGAGAAAAACTCATTTTGGCAAAGTGCGTTTCTCTTCAACAGACGCTCTCTCCATAGTGCACGCAGTATAAGCTGACCATGAGGAGCGCGGGAAATCAGAAACGTCTCTTTAGTTCCCGAGCAGAACAGAGTGTCTGGTGTCATTGATTCAGTTTGTGTTTAATAAACAAAAAAGGGGAATATTTCTCACGATTTTCACCCCCACAACACATCACGGCGATTATCGGTGTTGTGCGTGTCGCTAGTGATTTCCATCATCGTTCGTGTTTCAGATGCCTGGCAACTCTCCATTTGAGACAAAGCAGATGTGTACATTTTTGCCAGCTTGCGTCCAATACTATGAACAAGATTTCAGTCCATCATGAGTTAGAGTGAGGCTAATGATAACAGAACACTCAAAATTGAACGAAGACGAACTATTGAACAATAAACTTGAAGTATCGAACGATGTGCAGTTTTTTGCACGTCGACTACAAAAAAAAGAAAAGTACATCTCTAGTTCTATTTCTCCACCGTCACTGCGACGTGGACGTTGACCTCTGCATGGCAGCATCCATCACACCCGCAGTTCTTGTCAGAAATAGAACCAGTAGCGAGCGGCTTGGTTGTAGTGGTGGATGTTGTAGGTTGTGGTTGGGGTAAATCTGTAGGTTGTGGTTGGGGTAAATCTGTAGATTGTGGTTGGGGTAAATCTGTAGATTGTGGTTGGGGTAAATCTGTAGATTGTGGTTGAGGTAAATCTGTAGATTGTGGTTGGGGTAAATCTGTAGATTGTGGTTGGGGTAAATCTGTAGATTGTGGTTGGGGTAAATCTGTAGATTGTGGTTGGGGTAAATCTGTAGATTGTGGTTGGGGTAAATCTGTAGATTGTGGTTGGGGTAAATCTGTAGATTGTGGTTGGGGTAAATCTGTAGATTGTGGTTGGGGTAAATCTGTAGATTGTGGTTGGGGTAAATCTGTAGATTGTGGTTGGGGTAAATCTGTAGGTTGTGGTTGGGGTAAATCTGTAGGTTGTGGTTGGGGTAAATCTGTAGGTTGTGGTTGCGGTAAATCTGTAGGTTGTGGTTGCGGTAAATCTGTAGGTTGTGGTTGCGGTAAATCTGTAGGTTGTGGTTGCGGTAAATCTGTAGGTTGTGGTTGCGGTAAATCTGTAGGTTGGGGTAAACCTGTAGGTTGGGGTAAACCTGTAGGTTGGGGTAAACCTGTAGGTTGGGGTAAACCTGTAGGTTGGGGTAAACCTGTAGGTTGGGGTAAACCTGTAGGTTGGGGTAAATCTGTAGGTTGTGGTTGGGGTAAATCCGTAGGTTGTGGTTGGGGTAAATCTGTAGGTTGTGGTTGGGGTAAATCCGTAGGTTGTGGTTGGGGTAAATCCGTAGGTTGTGGTTGGGGTAAATCCGTAGGTTGTGGTTGGGGTAAATCCGTAGGTTGGGGTAAATCTGTAGGTTGGGGCAAATCTGTAGGTTGTGGTAAATCTGTAGGTTGTGGTAAATCTGTAGGTGAATCGGTAGCAAGAGGACAATAAGATTGCTTGAAGCGTTCCAGCGCCTTCTTAAGTGCTTCAGCATACGACGTCATGTTTGGGTCAAGCTGCTCGGTGAACACGCGCTCAACGCCCGCATTAACAAGCACATCGTGATACCAAAGCTTTAAATTATCAGGTTGTCTGTATTTTTTTCCTTTCGTGGCAATGGGCTTAGACGGACTGAATTTTCCAGTCACTTCATCAAACGCTCCACCAGGAGCAGCGAGAAAAATAACGCCTGAAAGTGTTCCGATCATGAGTCCATGACTGAGGTGGGGTGGTAACTCACTGATATTGAGTTCATTGATCAAACTGGCGACATCTTCGATAGACGGATATTCTGTTTCAGCGCAATCATAGTTTTCATCGCCATTCGCCTCCATATCCGCAGCATTGATGTCTGAGGGGAACCAGTGATGATGAAGGACACAGAAAAACAACTCACCAAATTTTCGCTTGACAAAACTAGTGAGACTGTGAACGTCACCATCGACATGAGTAATGGCATCGGTAACAACAACAGCGAGTCGAGCGACTCCATCGGTTGATCGCCAATTGAGCTTCTTGCTGACAAGCGCTCGATACAGACCATCGAAAACTCCCTCTGTCCAATCGCCACCCCCTCCAGCAGCTCTCTGGTGGTAGGTTGAGAACAATTCAGCCATTTCCGCGGGGTCGGGACGGGAAAGAGGAACGTCAGCGTGGCAGCAATAATCTGAAGGGTATCCGAGCTCAGTAGTTATGCTTGAATTTTTAAGATTGGGTCCTTTCAGTGGCTTGTCTCCAAATGTCGCAAAACCGAAGTTTGAATTTTCTCCGGTTGCGTAAATCATTTCAAGGACTTTTTCCACTTGCTACAATAACAAACATGACGGTTTCCAACAGTAGGCAGTGAGAGGAACGTACTGATGCCATAGCAGGCCAAAGACGATCGAATGACGACGTCATGTCTTGGATTTGGACAACATCGAGAGATGAATAACAATCCTGATCTGATCGTGCACCGACCACCAAAGACGAAACTACAAAAAAAGCAACGGTTGAAAGTATCATTTGAAAATAGTAACTTGGTAGAGAATAGGACAAAATTGAAGCTTATTTCACTTCTTGGTGTCTCCGCATGCGAATTAACCTTGAAATTGAGACTCGTGCAAATTTCATCCATTAATTTGTCCCTTATTTAATTATATCTGTCTATTTGCCGACAGGAGATAAAAAAATCACACAAAAAGTGGTACAAGTGTAAATCTCAGGATGTGCGGATTTTCGCACGCAAGCTGAAAAATTTATCGCTCGACCAGGCTACTCTATGGTTACCGTGACGTTAACATTAACTTCTGCCTGGCAACATCCATCACAGTCATCCGCCGTCGTTGCTGGGAGACAAAGGAAAGGCGATGGTCGATTCGATGGGTAAATAATCACTAGTATATCTAACTGGAAAACGGCTTACTGGACGTGGTTGTACCTGTACTCGTGGTGGTACTTGTAGTCGGATCAGTCGTGATGGTACTTGTAGTCGTGGTGGTACTTGTAGTCGGATCAGTCATGGTGGTACTTGTAGTCGTGGTGGTACTTGTAGTCGGATCAGTCATGGTGGTACTTGTAGTCGTGGTGGTACTTGTAGTCGTGGTGGTACTTGTAGTCGTGGTGGTACTTGTAGTCGTGGTGGTACTTGTAGTCGTGGTGGTACTTGTAGTCGTGGTGGTACTTGTAGTCGTGGTGGTACTTGTAGTCGTGGTGGTACTTGTAGTCGTGGTGGTACTTGTAGTCGTGGTGGTACTTGTAGTCGTGGTGGTACTTGTAGTCGTGGTGGTACTTGTAGTCGTGGTGGTACTTGTAGTCGTGGTGGTACTTGTAGTCGTGGTGGTACTTGTAGTCGTGGTGGTACTTGTAGTCGTGGTGGTACTTGTAGTCGTGGTGGTACTTGTAGTCGTGGTGGTACTTGTAGTCGTGGTGGTACTTGTAGTCGTGGTGGTACTTGTAGTCGTGGTGGTACTTGTAGTCGTGGTGGTACTTGTAGTCGTGGTGGTACTTGTAGTCGTGGTGGTACTTGTAGTCGTGGTGGTACTTGTAGTCGTGGTGGTACTTGTAGTCGTGGTGGTACTTGTAGTCGTGGTGGTACTTGTAGTCGTGGTGGTACTTGTAGTCGTGGTGGTACTTGTAGTCGTGGTGGTACTTGTAGTCGTGGTGGTACTTGTAGTCGTGGTGGTACTTGTAGTCGTGGTGGTACTTGTAGTCGTGGTGGTACTTGTAGTCGTGGTGGTACTTGTAGTCGTGGTGGTACTTGTAGTCGTGGTGGTACTTGTAGTCGTGGTGGTACTTGTAGTCGTGGTGGTACTTGTAGTCGTGGTGGTACTTGTAGTCGTGGTGGTACTTGTAGTCGTGGTGGTACTTGTAGTCGTGGTGGTACTTGTAGTCGTGGTGGTACTTGTAGTCGTGGTGGTACTTGTAGTCGTGGTGGTACTTGTAGTCGTGGTGGTACTTGTAGTCGTGGTGGTACTTGTAGTCGTGGTGGTACTTGTAGTCGTGGTGGTACTTGTAGTCGTGGTGGTACTTGTAGTCGTGGTGGTACTTGTAGTCGTGGTGGTACTTGTAGTCGTGGTGGTACTTGTAGTCGTGGTGGTACTTGTAGTCGTGGTGGTACTTGTAGTCGTGGTGGTACTTGTAGTCGTGGTGGTACTTGTAGTCGTGGTGGTACTTGTAGTCGTGGTGGTACTTGTAGTCGTGGTGGTACTTGTAGTCGTGGTGGTACTTGTAGTCGTGGTGGTACTTGTAGTCGTGGTGGTACTTGTAGTCGTGGTGGTACTTGTAGTCGTGGTGGTACTTGTAGTCGTGGTGGTACTTGTAGTCGTGGTGGTACTTGTAGTCGTGGTGGTACTTGTAGTCGTGGTGGTACTTGTAGTCGTGGTGGTACTTGTAGTCGTGGTGGTACTTGTAGTCGTGGTGGTACTTGTAGTCGTGGTGGTACTTGTAGTCGTGGTGGTACTTGTAGTCGTGGTGGTACTTGTAGTCGTGGTGGTACTTGTAGTCGTGGTGGTACTTGTAGTCGTGGTGGTACTTGTAGTCGTGGTGGTACTTGTAGTCGTGGTGGTACTTGTAGTCGTGGTGGTACTTGTAGTCGTGGTGGTACTTGTAGTCGTGGTGGTACTTGTAGTCGTGGTGGTACTTGTAGTCGTGGTGGTACTTGTAGTCGTGGTGGTACTTGTAGTCGTGGTGGTACTTGTAGTCATGGTGGTACTTGTAGTCGGAACAGTCGTCGTTGTTGTGGGAGCTGAAGGAAAGCAGAATTGGATTGGATTTCTTCTGAGTTCTTACAAGAGCAGCGCCACTCAATAAAACGTTCCAATGCCTTCTCAAATGCTTCAGCATACGACTTCATGTATCGGTCAAGCTGCTCGGTGTAAACACGCTCAACGCCTGCCTTAACAAGGTCATCGTGATACCAAAGCTTTAAATTATCAGGTTGTCTGTATTTTTTCCCTCTGTCAGCAACCACCTTGGAAGGACTGAATTTTCCAGTCTCTTCATTGAACGTTCCACCAGGACCAGCGAGAACAATAACGCCTGAAGATGTTCCGATGCATCAACATGATACCACAATGTGGTAACTCACTGATATTGAGTTCATTGATCAAACTGGCGACGTCTTCGATAGACGGATATTCTGTTTCAGCGCAATCATAG